AAACCAAATCATAGGCATGACAATATTACAAGCGTTAGTCAAGAGTTAAAGAATGTACGTCATTCCTTCTATTGTATCAGGCTAAATTTCCACAAAAAAAACATGAATAATCAGTGTCTACATATAAGCTTATAACATCGAACACCCTGCAATAGCTTGAACACAATGTTTGTGTGCACACGTGCACCTCTCCTAATTAAGATAATTGAAATAGTAATCACTCATTAACAACCAGGTATCAGAAGCACCTGGACAATGCACAGCAGGAGGGAACGGGGGCTGATAGAAGAGCCAGCAAGCTCTCCCTTTTTACCATCGCTAGGCCTACATCTGAACGCCAGTATGGGCTGTATGCTATCATCTAAGAAGAATTAACAACCAAATAGTAAACATCTTTGTGTCCAGACAGCTCGACAAGTACTGAACACTAAACACTTATACATCATGTGGCTAGGAATTTATGATGAGGAAACCCGTATAGTTCACCTAGTTATACGGTGTGTTTCTCAATACCCGTCACTAACCAGAACAGTAAAGTATCCTCTAATATACACCCCAATGCTCACCGATACGTTGCAGATGGAGATGTGAATCTCTATAAATCCGATGTGATGATACTCCATCTTCCTTGATTCAAAGATATCCTGAAATTTACACAAGCTAATCATATCAGCTATTATACATCTCTGACAAGAGCAAACCTAACTAGATCCAATGCCTCTTTCATACTGTAAAACAGTATAAATATGTACCAAAAGCATGCTATGATTACCAAGTAGTATGGGAATAACTGTGACATGTGCCCGAAGCGGAAAAGCTGCCCGCCAAAGGAAAAAGTCTATACACAGGCTTGAGATGAGCTAAGTAATATGAGCAAGATATCCGAACTCTACTCCTCGAGTGCCCAGAGAGGCGCCTTTAAATAAAATGTATTATTATTATTATTATTATTATTATTGTGTAACTATTGTAGGTTTATATGGCCACCATCTAATAATAGTGAAAATGCAGTAATCAGAACAGTGAACAACTGAATACTGTTTGCCACAGATTGACTGTATGTCATGGTCTGTGTACTGGTCCAGCAAAATTTATTGTAATTTACTTAGCATTGAATAAACGACAGTCTGAAGGAATCAGACATTTGTTTTATTTATTTAATTACTGTAGGTCTCCAAATAAAAAACTCTTTTTATTTCAGCCTACTATGTTCTATTTGAAATGCAAATGCTGTACGAAAATATCATATTCAGATTTAGATTTAGATGACTTTATTTTCATCTTTGGCACTGGTCAATACACACTGTACACAACAATACATAACAACAACACACAATAATGCTATGTTACCATAGAAAAGTTAAAGTGACGGTAATAAAAGGGACTGGCCTTCGTTAGCCTTCATGACCATCAGAACAGTGCATAATACACAGCAGTAACTGATCAATAAAAAAAGATAAAATTTAAAATATTTTAAAAAATAGGGTCAGGTAAGTTCCAAGGGGCCTTTTTTAAACAGGTTCTCACTGAGGATGATCACAGCTGTTGGATTAAACGATTTCTTGTAACCTATTGTAATAATTTCTAAGAGGTAAATCTCTTTTAGATAATGTGGATTAATTAAATGTATGTTTGAATTAAAGCTATGTGATACCATCTTTTTTTCCACCATTTTATTTCACACCTTCATTTCTTCTTCCACTTTTTCTGTTGTGACATCTTGCTGTGGTGGCCACTTCGCAGGGCATGCTTCCTCTACCATGCTTTATTCTGGTATGAGGAAGATGGCAGTGTGGTAAACTTGTAGCCCTCCTTGAAGTTGGACACCGTTGTTCTCCGTAATTTTCGTAGGTGTTTTTAAATCCGTCATCATATTAAAATCACTACGTACAGAAACCCTGCACACTGAGTCTGATGCGTTTTTATATTTGTTGTGAAATTCACAATACTACATGATTTTGTGGCCGCCTCACTTCAAAGTAGAAAAATAAATATTGGGTCCAAGGTGTCAAGAACAATTTCAGTTTCACCTGCTGAAAGGAGCTGTCTGCTTCTGCTGTCTCTCTGTCTCTTGCTCCCTCTCTCTCTCTCATTTCCTCCCTTGCTTCCCTCCACTGGAGGTACCTCCGAGGCTGTCACCACTCTCTGCCCACGTCTTGTATTTGGCACCGCGGTTACAAGAGCTGTCCACCTGACTGGTGTAAAAACGCAGAAAATATAATTAACACTATTAACACAATGTGAAGTTGTATTTAAACGAGTGACAATATCAGACAATATCAAAAAATCTACTTGGGGTGCAATGGCCTTAATAATCGTTGGCAGAGGACCAAGGTTGATCTTGTTAAAATCCCCAGCCGTGATGATGTTAGTGTTCGGGTACTTGACCTGGTGCCGGCACATCATATTGTCTTACTCTGTTAATTCTCTGTCTGTATCCGGTTGTAGTACACAGCAGAGATTACCTAAAGAGAGTAGAATGGATGGCATATTTTCAAGTTAGTCAAGGAGGAGCGAGAGAGTTTTACACCTTGTTTGCACAGGCAGTGTAGTGAAAGCAGCACATTTGCTGTGATTCGGTCACAGTTAAACAATGGCATCACTCAGCCTCTGTAGACAGTTGTACTGAATAAAATAGAAGCATGTTTTGTTGACAGATGCCTGTGGGACAGATGGGTAAAAAACACATCTCTAAGACTTCCAGACCATCCTTGCATTTACCAGATTATTTTTTTTTTCTGTCAGAAAGTTCATACAGAAATAGTGAAGGAGTACCTGGGGAGGGTGCAAAGTTTCAGTCAGTCAGTCAGTTAGTCTTCTATGTCCTGTTGGAAGCTGACATTTCATCTTGTTTTCAAAGGACTGGAGGTTTGAAAGTCAGGATACCAGTTGGTGCCTGTTCCACATTCCAACTCATCTTCCTCTGTTTTTCTTCTAATGCCTTCGCCATGGCACATTTACATTGTTATGGTTTGTGCTGTTCTATGGTCTGCTCAGGGTCACTGCAGGCCACACCCCATGACTCAGGGGTACTCATGCACAAAACAGCAGTTTGGAGTATATGGCCTTCTTGGAGTCTCTGGGTTGGGTCCTGGAAAGGATACCGCCTATAGACTCTATTGTTCTGCTGGGGGGCTCCATGGGCAACAATAAAGACACCTGGAGGGGGGAAGTGGTGATTAGGAGGTACGACCTGCCCATTCTATTTACTGTCAAATGAGTAGTGCGCTTTGTTATATATTCACATCCCAAGGTTAGTAAATCTAATGATACCTGAGCTAGAAGCAATAGGCCACTTGGCCAACTTCTAACTGGGCAATTCGATGTGCAAGTCACAAAATTCACTACCTTCGTTTTATTTAAAGGGGACTGAAATATCCAACACCTGCTATAATATATATTGAGAGTTTGGGAGCAGAGGTTGTTTTACCTTAATTAATTCTATGCATTATGGTAGGGGAGATCATAGGGCTCGACTTACCGATCCTTATAATCCCTTTGGAAAATATCTTAAACATCAGCGGAGGGTGTTGAACGGTATACTAAGGATATCGCGATGGCTAGGAACCCACCTGTGTGGCGGGTACTCTTAGCTCCTGCTATTAGTACAAAGGGTTGCGTCAAAGGACACTCATCCAAGGTCGTTTCCGATCAATACTCTGTTTACCCTGTTGGGTCCAATCCTCGGGGTTCTCACTCGTGTCGTGGTGTGTGTTGGGGGAGTGATAGATGTATGCCTACCACCTATAGATAATCCCTAACACCGCTTGTATCTCTACACATCACTTGCCGCTCGCATTCTGACGCAGGTAACACATCTCATCAGAAGTCAACACCACGCTCTCCAAATCAAAACTTCTGAAACACATTTCCCAGAGAGGGTTATACTGGGGCAAAACCCACTGGTCAGATCTTTCTTTATTCGTGGTCGTATAATTATCCACACTTTTTGGAACTTTCATGTTATTTGATGTAAGTAGTACTGTAACGACTATGGCAAACCGCACTCGCCTTATACCAACCCCAAACTCTTATAAGTGTAAAATATTACAACACTCGCAACTGTAATCGACGAGCAACCCCACCCAAGTTGATCCGTTCCAACCCGCCCCTCTCAACCCATTACGAGACCACCAATCCGAGGTAACACCTTGGGGCCTGTTTAACTGTACACTTAAGTCAGTGTTTACTTGCTACTGACCACACAGCGGTCATATGGTAACACAGGGATTAACAAGTAATCACCTCCTACAAAAGCTACTGCAACAAAAACAATATCTTTCATCTTTCCTTAACAAGCGATTTCAACCATGAATTCTCTGAACCCAAAAATGGCAACTTAAAACCCACCCCCGGGCCTACCAGTGACTTTAATCAGACTCAGTGCCCCAAAACAGTC